TTTCTTTTTAGATCGCTTATCTTCCTTTCATTAGCCGGTATCCTTAAATGACTATGAATGGAATGGGCTGGGACTAGTCGAGTAGTGCTGTCTTCTTTTTGATTTTTAGCTACCCCGCGAAAGCGTCCCTGTCTCACGTGGCCAGAAAATAAGGCAATGCGCTCTTTTCCACCGTTGACACGGTGTTATTATGGAGTCTAAGAGCAGGGCCAGGAGAGTCAACTACTCGACTTGTCTACCAACACACAGCCCTCACGGGTAACTCATATAATTACGTGGACTTTGAGAATGTGTGGTGGCACTGCACGCAAAAGCTCATCAATTCGCTTTCAGAGAGACGAGCAAGGCGTTATGCGTAAGACGTGATCTAATTCTAATTTTAGAAGGATGGAACGAAGGAGACTGACACAACGAAAACCAAAACCACGGAGAAGGATGACAAGAAAGCGGGTGAGAAAAAGGAAGAACGAGAAAAAAGATGATAAAGATGCAAAGGACAAGGAAAAGGCTAAAACAACGCCAACTGAAAAGAAAGAAGGTGAAAAGGAAGGCGAAAAAGCAAAAGAAGGAGAAAAAGCGGCCGATAAAGACGCGAAAAAGGACGAAAAAGATAAGGCAGCTCAGGATAAGGATAAATCTCAGGAAGGAAAAGCCTCCATAGAAAAAGCACCAGAAAAGAAGGTGAGTATTGATATGTAGCCTTTACAACGGTGGTGGAACCATAGCCAATGACTACTCTTCACAGATGACGCTACAATTACTACTCTCGCATTGGGTCCTAACGCAGCTCTCACCAGCGACTACCCCCTACTAACCTTTGAGCCTGATTGTGACCTACTCTCCATCGCAAAGAGTCCATCGGCAAGAATGATGGGTAGAAATGCAGAAACGACAGCAGTTGAGAGATTTCTAGAATTCCTCTGATTTCATGCGAATTCGTGAAAACTCGTACTTTTCAAAAAAGTATTCCTTTCCCATATTTGGCTAAAAGACAATACTACCAATTTCTTCAAGTACGACCACACCCGAATAGCTCTAAATACGACCTTTCTCGTTCAATTTGAATCAGTGGGTTGGTAACTTTGGTTCAAGGCAGGGTTGTTAAGGCCTGCCTTCAACCCTGCCTTGAACCAAAGTTAACCACCCACTGATTCAAAGAGCAGTCGGTACGATTGCGTGCATCGCCTGCAAAAAGGGCTATTCAAAGATTACGCACGGACCCTGAATGAAGCCTTACAAACATTGGTAGAAAACATGTTAGATCGGCTCCTTAAAGCGAGAATTACGATAAAGCGATAAAGTGCGTATGCAGCGTGGAAGTACATGCACCATTGGAAGCAGTAGTCAGGGGCCCAAGGAAACGAAATGTTGCGTTTTTGTGGTCAAAGGTGCGCTAGTTGCAGCGTACAAGGCTTGCCATTCCTTTCTGAGCCCCGCCACGGTCTGTGCTCCGCCCCCAGCAGCAGCGCCCTTCGATTGCCAATGTGACGAGATATTCCACTTCCAGAGTGTATCCTATAACTTTTCATGGGATGCGTGATCAATCAAAGCATGATGCTTGCTGAAATGATAGAGGCTATCAGCATAACATGTGCAAACGACCTCCTAATTGGTTGCTAGCTCGTCCATTATCGGAGGTCAACGGGCAAAGAAAGGGGTCCCATTTTGCGCCTTCTTGACGGATTTCTTTGCTTTTTTCGCCACTGGGGCATTATTCAGCATCTCCACTTCCACTATGAACCCAGTCCAACTTATCGTAATCTCTCGCTTTAAGGTGAGAGCATCACACGGTAAAAGTGGGTCTACATTATCTACAACACCTGCACTGTTATGATGATGAGTGTTAGGGAGAAATTTCACTGATGTAAAAAAAATTGTCGAAATTTATTTATCACGCTACTTCTGAATCACCATGGCCGAAGCTTACCCACACGACCACCATCATCAATCCTAGCACTGATAAGTTCCCTCCACAGTCATCCGAGTTCCTAATTTTTGATATGTAGATGGTTCCATGCGGACACTCAGTCCGTTACATGTGGAGTGACTGCCTAATTTTTGTTCCCACCCTTTTTGATTTGTTTGATTTCTTTCTTCATTCTGATTTTTGATTTTTATTTCACCTATATTCACAAATTCTGAGCTGAAGCTTTCATATTAATATTTGAGGATTCGCAAGAAGGAGTAAGTGCCCTTGTCAAAAATAGCTGGGAAGGCAGATAAACCACCGGGTGCGAAAGGTGAGTGTTTTTTTCCTGAACAAGGCGTCAATTCGACTTTCTGCGACTTCCTTATTTTCCAACATCCCTTTTCAAATTGCTCTCTTCAGCAGGACAATTGAAAAAGAAGAAATCCTGTTGTACACTGCTTTGAGTTGGTCTCTGCTGATGAAACTGTATTTCAATGAGTATTAACAAGTAAATGTTCTTGCTTTGTCAACGATAAACTGATTTTCCATGGAATATTCAGCTGAATACTTCTTTTTCAAGAGAAAAGCCTCACTAAAAATGGGGAAGCAAAAGCATCGTGCTACGGAAAGTTCCTGAAATCCTCACTTATCCCCCAGCTTTTCTGCTGTTGTGACCTTAGAAAGTCCTAGTTTTACTGGGATGGTTCTAGAACCAATTTTTTATGAATATTTTCCCAGAACGGATCGGCTCGGAAATCAATAGTGTTCATTATCCCTCTCTAGTACTAGACGCCACCGCTTTGACCATGTGCCTATTCACCTCAGCGTCGTCTTATACCTGCACTTATATTGGTCTTGAATTTTTCCTCCTTTAAGAAAGAATTAGAGGCTGAAAAGGCAGCAATCGGACAGGGTAAGGTGAGGAATTGAATAGGGAGGAGTTGAGTTCACTAGCCTGAGTTTATCGGCCGGCCCTCATCAGTGGACCGCCAACAACTTCACCACGAATTTTTACGGCAATACCGCCCCCGCTGAACTTGAAACTGTTGTACCCTTCAGGGTTCTCTGAGAAACCTTACAGCACCAAACCTTGTTCTATCAGACCACCGCCTAATCAGCCTACTCTAGCTTCCTAAATGCAAAAAAAAACTGAAGGGAGGATGAGGTCAGTGAGATTTCCAACGACTTCTTGAGTTTCAACTCCCCTGCTTCTTGGAGCAGTGAATCGACAAGCTACCTCAGCGTTGCCATCGATGACGTACAATGACGTCGCATCCCTTGAATTCCCAGGCCAATTCGTTTTCAAAACAACTGTAAGAGTTGGGGCGGCTAAATTTTGACCAGACCAAAAGAAGTCTGAAGCATGGCGCAACCCGCTTGGCTTGGTGTCATTAGCTTAGGAGACATCTTGTCACGAAATTTCATAACACTGGGAAGGTGGTGAACTGCGGAAACCAAGCGTGCACGAAGTCGTGTTTTTCTCATTTCTTCAGTAGCTTATATTCTTTTTGCCATGCTGCAACACTTCGTCATATTTGCCTTCATAAGCAGCGCCTCACGCCAATTTTGAAAGATGAAGGGTACATTTGTCACCTTCAATCAGTAATCCTAGAGAAAATCGATCATAGTTTGAGCCATGAAAGAAACGGCATCATTCCGTTGAGAGGGACATTCAAGTGAGTGAGCCACTTGTAGTGCTTAGTACTATAGCCTACAGGGCAAGCCCCGGGATAAAATTGGTATATATGTGGTGACTGAGCTGCGGAACGAACTGGAAAGGAGAACAAGAGAAATAATCGGGGACTTTAAAATGAAGGCTCAGTCCTATGTTGTGTCACCCACCATCACCCTTGTTTTGAATGTCTCCTCCACCGTTACCCCAAAGTCATGAGCGTCAAATAGGATTCCACCACTTGGCCACTTATCTTCTACAGGAGATTTGTTTAAAGGCAAAGGTCGGGATTAGTTGACCAAACCAACCCTTTCGGTCATGCCTGTACTTGGTTACGCACCCGTAGAGATGTTCCCACACTCAAAACCCGAAACGGCGCAGTAATAAGGCCCCAGGGCCAGTCAACCCCGTTGGACAAAATCCAACGCATGACTCTCTAGCGTGTGAGAGTAATCGTGTGAGTAATGCCGAGAGTGAACGTACGCACGGAGACACAGACGGCTCGCGCAAGGGGTCCAACGTAACGTTTGACCCTGCCCAGGGCATGTACTATGCGCTATCGCCGCCTGGCCCCGCTACGACCGCCCACCCAGAGTCAACCCTGCGTTGCGCAGTTCGCAACGGCACGTTGAGAGATCCTCAACGCACGCTGTATGGGCGGAGACACAGACGGCTCGAGCATGCGAGTGTGAATGTTCGCGCGAGAGAACGTGTCTAATCGGGCGAAACTGCGCAACGTGGCCGTTGAGAACTGCGCAACGCAGGGTTGACTCTGCTGTGGTGCGTGGCTGGCATAACGTGTGAAATCAGCTAGGTTGATTGCCGTATCAACCGATAGAACGACTGACATCTCCAGAAAACTTGTTTGTACGTGCCTCTTTCCCAAGCCAGCCTCCTTCACTGCTAGTGGGAAAGAGGGTTTTGTTAACGGCCTTGTCGACGGTTTTTCTCAGTTTTTTCTCCACTGTCGTTCCACTTCGCATCTCTATACTCAGTTTCAATCGCCATAATACCCCCTTATTGAGCCCGACTTTTGCCTTTAAGCAGAGCGCTCATAATCTACAAAAGATGAGAAATATTTCACTCCGAGGCTGTTCAACTCTTCAAAATGGCTGCTGTAGCGTGTACTTCTTTGAAAAACTGTAACGTATACATGGAAAAAGATTACAGTGATAAAACTTGATAACGATAAAATCTTCTCCTACACTGAGGTTTCTGTCAGCCTAAAAGAGGGTCTCTGCATGGAGCGTTACTTTGAATGAAGTATGCATAAGATCACAAGACTAAATGGACCAGGCGCTTTCAGTGCTAGGAACATTGAACTACCTTGAAATTAATAAATACTAGCTGATGATAACATAAAGATAAAATGAAAGTGTCGTAAAGTCGTAAAACGGCATTATACAGAAATTCGATTATCTACTGCGTTTTGAAGATCTCGTTGGCAGTCTGGGAGTGGACGTACTGCTGTTCGACTGAATGCGTCCCTGCCGAATTCGTGGCGACCACTTTGTAAACTCCTTGATCGTCTTGCGTCGGATTCTAAATTTTCAACAGAAATTCAAAAAGTATTTTGTATGAGGATGGTTGCTGTTGCTTACATGATGCGATTTTAAGATGAAACTTCTAGTTTTCGCTTTCTGCAAAATGAGCTCGAATGGTCCATCACATTGCTACAGATAATTTGTGGATTTATTAGAACTCGTTTGTTTACTTATTTATTGGGAGCAAAAGTATGTAGGCAGGCTGTGTCAGTTCCTTACTGTTCCTAAGAGAAAACATGAAGGAGAGTGTGCTTTCTAGCCACAGGATGAAACAGTGGGCATAGCACTACGTAGTGACCCGCTGAATGGAGGACATGAAACAGCCGAGAGATTTGGTGGTTTTAACGAGATGATAGTATCCGTAAGCCAGCCTTGATCATGGCGTGCCCAGAAAGAGGCATAAAGCCATCCAAGCAGCACTCACTTGAGATGCTGCGCGCGGACGTTGAGTTAGCGATGTAATCGGCGAAGGAGCATCAATACAAATGGGACGCACGAAGAGGGATAAATGCTGAAAAAACAAGGAGAAGGAGAAGTGAGTAGTAAGTAGTTCGTTCTTCACAATCAGGTCCATACTAATCGGATTTTTGTTGGTTGTTAGTAGCCGTAAACTACGCTTACCCGCCTGGAAACGTATCCTGAATAGCAGGATCTAGGTAGGGAGGAATATAGTTTTCAATACTGAACCAATAGATAAGTAAATAAAGAAATAATTATACAAAAATTGTTGTAAAATGAATCAGCAGATTCATCCAATAAGCAAAGCTTGGAATTAAAACTCTAATTTAACTGATAGATTTTAAAAAAAAGTACTCACGTTAGAGTCTGAATTCTCATTTATTATTTCTAAGAGTGTTTGAGCATGGTTCTAACTTTTCGAGACAGTGGGAAACAAGCCAGGAAGAAAGAGGGTTTGGACCGCTACCACAACTCGGCCCTGTGACGAACCAGGCGCTGTGGATATGAGAGACCATGGAGGAAAGAGGGAGGGAGGAAAGACACCGCCACAAATCCCCGTAGCGTTTCCGTTTCTTGGATATCATCGTTGGGAAGGGTACTACAAATGACATGATTCGAGAGTATCGCCTCCTACCTTCCTACCATATACCTTTAACCCTTGGACTACCAGGAGCCACATGTGTACCACCGCAATTTACGAGCTTGTTTTAGTGCAGGAGCGGGCGTTTGAAAACCTAGTCTTACACGTGAGATGGATTAATAATAAAAAGGATATGTATTTCCTGTCCGTTGCAACTCATCGCCCAACCGCCAAAAAAAGCTCGTCAAATAGTGCTGGTGTATGTGTCCCACTGGAAGGCGAAGGATAAGTCGCAAAATTAGCAAAGCTTTGTGCCCACGTGTCTGTTTACTGCAGGAGGAAGATTTTACCGCGAATTTCGTAACTCAGGCCCGCTATAACCACTTATCTCTTGTTTTCTGACATAATTGTCACCATCGGTGCCTGATTTCGAGCTTAACTTCAGATGTAACTTCAGGATTGGTACTCACCTTCATGATGAGTGTCACTGTCCATTTCCCAACGCTCTTCTTGATTTTTGGTACGAATCGGTCACCTTTCAATTCTTGTCCTTTGAAGAACCTGTAATTGAGCAGTGATCAGCTCTGCGAATGCTAACTTCTGTATTCACTAACTTGAACGCTTGCAGAAAAGCAATTCACACAGACGCGATTTTTAAAAACAGTCCTTTTTGGTCAAACACAAGAAGTAGTCCTTAGAAACACCCGTTCGGACTTGGAAGCTGCCGCAATGAGTTGCAGAAGTCATTCTACGTTGATAAGGAGGCGGACCTTGCGACCCCGCTTTTCGATGGAAGCGCGCTGGGGAGCCACGCCGTTCACCTTGCGAGGTGTAGCCTAACGCCCTATCACTATCGAACCGGTGTCAGGCTTTGCGAATTCAGCGAATCGAAATGAGCTGAGCAATGCACAAACAGTTAAAAGATGTGAGTGGGACTCGATAATGTGAGGAAGAGGTGCCCTCTCGCTCCCTCCGGCCCTTGTGAGCCGTAGAATATTGCAAGATTCAACATGCGAACCATGTGCGCTCACCTCTTTCAACACGTCCTATCGCTGGCGCATCTTCTGAACTGCCTGTGCACCGCTCGTACCTTAAGCGTACCGTAAGCGATTCATTGGATCCCTAAAGTCAGACGTCGTGCGCCTTAGTACGCCTCCAACACTGAAGTGTGCTGACAGGACCGCCTACCAGAGAGCACGCAACACGCTTTGGACAGTAGAATTCATGGAATCGCTCTGATCATGGTGAGGAAAGCAGCTATGACCGTACGCTGCAATACTTTGAAGGCAAAAGTCGGGCTCAATAAGGGGGTATTATGGCGATTGAAACTGAGTATAGAGATGCGAAGTGGAACGACAGTGGAGAAAAAACTGAGAAAAACCGTCGACAAGGCCGTTAAAAACCCTCTTTCCCACTAGCAGTGAAGGAGGCTGGCTTGGGGAAGAGGCACGTACAAACAAGTTTTCTGGAGATGTCAGTCGTTCTATCGGTTGATACGGCAATCAACCTAGCTGATTTCACACGTTATGCCAGCCACGCACCACTTCCGGAGGTGGGCGGTCCTGGATTGACCAGGCGGCCCTGGATTGAAACCGAACGCCCCGGGGCCTTAACGGGGTTTTTCAAGGTGGGAAGTTGCTGCAATGTGTGCAGCTACCCACATACAACCTCCAGGCACGGGAATTACTTCTCTAGCGTGCCTGAGCCCGACCTTTGCCTTTAAATGAAAGAAATGAAGGCGGTCAAACTGCTATGATATGCGACACGAACATGAAAGAAGTCGTGGGGGAGCCGTCACTTAAGAAAAATGCAAAAAAAATCATCGAAAACACTGCAATATAGAGCCTTTCTTCGTGTGATTGAGCCGGGTACGGTGGAAGACATGCCAGAAGGGTGCCGTAGGCGAGAGAACGCGCCACACGAGCCGCTGCAAACACTCCGCATATTGCGAGCAAGGAAAAACGAAGCGGTTCAAGCAGTTATGACAAGACCCTAGTTCTCCCTATTTTTGAGTCGCGAAAATCGCAATCTGCAACTTTCATGGGCATTCTATCCTCTTCATTTAAAAGGATTAATTCACATGAGCGCATTGGAGTTGTGACTTCAAGACTCAATTTGGGAGTACGACATAAAGCTGACGCTTTTCTACACAATTTAAGAAGCGTAATTACAGAACCATCTTTTTTGCACGAATGTAAGTTAAATAATGATTGTAAGAAATCTTTTCTTGCTACGAATCAGCTCGTAGTTTCGATTCAAACACCTGCCTTCGCCGATACACTGTATGAGTAAAAAAAGACGAATCACTTGGCGGAGAACAGTTCTTCCCCCCCCCCCGCCGAGTCTGAATGAGAGTGGAATGCGCCACGCATTCCATTCTCGTTCGGAATCGTGACGCCGTCTGAATACGATTTCTTTTCGTTCCATCTATTTGCAAAGAAATTTTACCATTTTGTCAGCACCTTATCGAATATTAATTGGTTTGAAATTTCACAAGTGATCGAACAAGTTTGTTCGCTAGAGAAATTGAAGCGTCCACATACTCACCATTGAATTGTCGGCTGTGGGTTACCACTGCAGATGCACTCAAAAAGTACGGAGCCATCCGGCTTGAAAACAAGCGACGGAGGAGATTCGAAAAATGGAGCGTACATCTGAAATGAGGCATTTGATGAGATGTGCTCTTCTGTTTTCTTCCTCAAGGGTATTCGATGGAATAAATGCTGTATGAAAAGCTACCAAAATATATGTATCAGCAGTCGCAAACATTATTGATGTATATAATAATACAATGTGATGTCCGATATTCTAGGAACAAAAAGTGAAAGAGAAATCAAATCAAGATGGAAAAGAAAGAAGCAAGAACAGCAAATTAGATTGAAATGAAATATTTGAGTACAAATAATGCAGTTGGCAAGATCATCTGGCTGCTGGCATAGGGTAAATGAGCCTGAGAGCAACAGAACCGAGGAGACTGGACGAACACTGCGTGAGTGTTTTCTGGGCAAAATTCGTTCTTGAAGCGGCTCAAAAACTTCTACAGATGTTTCGGTATTCCTCGAAAATTTGCTACGTCCCCAAACGAGCGCCCACGGCTGACTTTATCCGTCTGTGCTCTTGCTCTTGCGGAAGAGAATCCAGAACAGACTCACATTTGCGATGTAGATAGGAGAATCGAAAACAACCAAAAATTACAAGCATTACGACGGTTACAGATCGCGCATTTTCGAGCGTTTTTTTAGCCTCTCGTTCTTTCTAGTATATCCACCCGAGTATGGAAATGGCAACGCTGTTTTTAAAAGTAGAGGGTTATTGTCTGATTGACAAGAGGAAAAATTCGTAATACCAAAAACCAAGGATGAGGGAATGAAGGAGGCCAATTCAAGGCGAACGGGGATACTCCGAACGAGGGCGGTGTCATCGATCCGAAGGTGACATAGAAATCAAAATGAAATGGATGGAGGTAGGCTGTTACAGAAATGTGATCCCTAAAACAAGCATAGACCATTCCGAATGAACGATGCATCTAATGAAGCCAGATTTTACGATGTAAAGGTAGCCCTTTAGAAAATATGTCATAAATGGTCAGTGATCCTCAAAGAAAGAAAAGGCCGAATAATGGTCTGGAACCCGAGAACGGTACTCCTGCCTTGCCTGCCGATTTGTGTATTGATGCGACTCTCATCGGCGCTGCCCTCTTAAACGCTAATGCTCTCTCAGCTGAACGGCTAGAGACTCAGACACAAGATGACGCGATAGGGGGCGTACCGAACCAATAGCCAGCCAACTGCGCCGCGGGGAAGGTCATGCTAGATCGCTGGGGTATATAATTCGATGCGGATTCCGTGTCATTCCCCTTCCTCAGGAGGTCCACTATTTCCCCTTCTTCGTCCTTATCATGGAATCCTCCTTTAAATTGACAGTGAGTGGTTTGAAACAAAAAATTGCACTTCCTCCAATAGATATAGGCCAGAGAAAGTGGACGAAGAGAGGGAGCTCGTGGTGGATGGGAGTGCACTAAGTTGGGAAAACCGAAATCTCATTCGAAACAGTACCCCGAGACAGTCCCAAAACTGGAAACGAAGAGGTCGGCGAAAGAAAAGAGGTTGGATGCTTATGGTGGGAGGAGCATGCATCGATAATGGCGGAGCTATAATCGGAACCCGGTTCCCTGGGCTAGATTTGTGAAGCTCTGTGTGACAAACTCATTAGCCAAAGCGAAACTGGTTGAGATATTCGGGAGAGGCAATAAAAAAGGCTTACTCCGTTCAGATTTTGAACTGAAATGATTATTAATCACACTTTGCTGAACTCGATGCATCGGACTGAATATTGAAGAGCACTTCATCTATTGAACAACTTCATACCAATGAATCGATTGAAAGCATGTAGGAGGCTGGAGCAACTGCATGAGGCCACCTTCTAATGTGCCCCACGAACAAAGAACGTTTTGCTCTATGCTACAGACCTGCAGCGCCCACCCTAATTGTCGAAAAATAATCCACGTTAGTTTTTCGTTTCCTCTCCAAAACTGGCTTAGTTTTTTTTTCACCCGCAAAGTAGATAGTTCAACTCGGCTCTCGAGCTCTACAAGGCTCAATGTAAAAATTCTGAAAAAATCCTGTTTTTCAACCCCACTTCCCGTCAAAGGTCCTGCGATTACTCTTTAGCGAGCAACGCTTGCTATATTCAGCATGACTGGGAGGCTTTTGTGTTTGATGCACGAAGTGTGTTGTCGAATTGCAACTTTAATCTTAATGGAAAATATATACAGGGGGGGGCAAAAAAAAAGACATTTTGCCTCCACTTCCAGATGGATTTAAGCACATTTTGCTCAACTCAGACCGAACGGTTCCAACTTATTATTAAAGAGCGCATTTCCATTCTATAAGAAAATCTTCATAGTGGCCACCTACGTGGACGGCATCAGAAGAATTTGCCCTGGAAACATGGTGCACTGGTCGAGCTCAATGGGGTCTTCGAAGGATCGTGTACCATAACGACCCTTACTGGAAAGCTAGTTCCGAGGGGATTTGCATAGTGGAGCTAATGCCTCTAGAAAACTATCCAACATTGAATCGATTCACGAAATTGCGTAAGAGCTTCAGGCTGAAGCTCTTACGGTAGACCTCCTTGAGCCTTGACGACGGTGACAGATGACGTCATATTC